AAGACTATGTTTCATGTGTGAGGGCTAGGCAGAAGGGAACCCCATGCTTTAGCTGTGCCACAAGTAGCTGGAACAGAGTGAAAAATGATAGTGTCCTACTGTATCTGGGAAGATAGCCATCTAACTGGGAACAAAGGTTGAGAAGTGGTAAGGAAGCCCTGTGTACTTGGCTCCGCCAGTCTGGAGTGGAGTCTTTGTCTCAGAGAGATGGGATAGACAAGGGAGGACACAGGTTTGGTTCATATGGTGTACACTCTCACAATTCTTAACAAGTTTTTGTAAATTTTTTTTTTGCACAACTGTTTCATGTTCCTAGGGCCATTTCCAGAGACTTTAAATGGTTGTTTTTTTGTTTCTATTTTTAATAATTGTTTACCAGTTTCATTAGGGAGCATGTCTACCGAGCTCCTCATGCTGTCATATCAGAAGTGGAATTCCCCAACCAATTCTTTGCAGTTCTAACCATGGACCATGTAAGTTGCTATTTCTCTCTTCTTCATGAGTATTTCCTTTCTTTGATTTCTCCTATCAAACAGCCGTATTAAAGAATGTACACCACATCCCCATACTTTTTCACTTTATAGTGAGGGCTGGAGTCAAACAGCATGCTGTCCCTCCCATGTGCCTGTCTATTCTCCAGATAATGTTCCACACTCCTATGTATTTAGTGTTTTATCAAGAGCATATATAGAATAGAAATGGAACTTTTCTTTGTCATATTCTTGGGTAGGGAAAAAGAGCAGATAGATCTGTTTGATGACACATGGACAAACTCTGAACCTCTCCACAGACCTGAGTTTCCAGGTGGATTGGATTTGATGTTGACTGGCCTCAAGTCATACAAAATGATTGATGATTATAGGCTCCCAGAATTGGAAAAGACCTTGTCTAACCTGAATGTCTAAGTATAATTAAGTCTGATACATGTTCAACAAGAAGACTACTCCATAGCCACTAAACAGCAATTATGAAATAATTTATCATTAGAAGTAATAATTCTCATTATATAATGTGAAATAGTAAGTAACATAGTGATGAACTTGGGGCTACAAGAAATTTTTAATTTTGTTCATACTCCAATTTCTTTTCATTTGTAAACTTTCCAGACATGTTTGGTCAATTAAGAAATCCCATAGTATGCAGGAAGATTTCTCTGAACCACATAGATTCTTTAGAAATGCAGATAGTCTGGTTGGGAAGCACTAATTTCCTTACTTCCCATGTCATAGGCTTCTACCCCTGGCCTACTTGGTTAATATCTAGCCCCCTTCCTATAATGCAATTCCTTATTTCTTGTCTTTTTCTAAAAAATATTTCCTTCAATTTTACCTATAATATGGGTTTGTTGTTTCAGGAGTCGGTGACATTCAGGGATGTTGTCATTAACTTCTCTGAGGAGGAGTGGGAATATCTGGATTCTGCTCAGAGGGACTTGTACTGGGATGTGATGATGGAAAACTACAGCAATTTAGTCTCACTGGGTAAATTTATCTGCCTCAAATAGCTTAAAATATGCTCTCTAGAATATCAGCTGATATTTAATGAACTCAAGTCCATCTTTTAAGAAACTTGGTGAATTTCTTCTGTTTCCAAAGGCATGCTTTTAGTGTTGTTGTGTTGCAGATGACACCTCCATTAAACATATTCAGCATTCTTTGTTATGTTCTTACCTACTCAGGCCCTTCATATAATTTCTACCTTCCTTGATACCAGGGAGCTGGATTTGACTTGTGAGATACATACAGCATATCACTGAGATATTATACGTTGAGTATCCCTTATCTGAAATGCCTGGGACTGGAGTGTTTTAGATTTCAGATTTTTCCAGAATAGATATTCTGGAAAATACATATATACATAATGAGATATCTTGGGAATGAGACCCAAGTCTAAACACAGAATTCATTTATGTTCCATATACACCATATACATAGAGCCTAAAGGTAATTTTATACAATATTTTAAATAATTTTGTGTACAAAACAAAGTTTATGTTAAGTACTTACATGTGGAATTTTCTACCTGTAGCATCATGTTGGCACTCAAAAAGTTTTGGATTTTGGAGCATTTCAGATTTTGCATTTTCAGATTGGTGATGCCCAACCTGTATATCGTATTTGAGCTCAGAATTGCAACACATGCTTTACTTTACTTTCTTATCCACCTTTTGGGAGAATAGCTAAGATACCATGTTCTCATTTGTTATAATTATCAAAAGAATCTCTACAATTTATATGTTGCTGGATTGATAAACAATTCATATTCATTTCGTCCCACAAATATTATACCTGCTTTGTGGTTAGAGAACTTTGCATTTAACATTAAATTGGTATTCCAGCAAGGACCTTTTAATGTCTCAGAAGTCTACAGAGTCTCCTCTCAACTTCCATAATTCTTGCTTTGTACTTAGCCCTGTCCTAAGCACTGTAAATAAATGACTCATTTTATTCTTACAATAACCCTATGACATAAGTACTCTTTGTATTATTATTTTACAGAAGAGATTGCTTACAACAAAGAGTATTTAGGTACTTTTCCAAGGCTACACAGCAATTTAGTGTCAGAGGCAGGTTTTCTACCGAGGCAGTCCAGCATGAAATACAGTGTTCTTAAATGTTACACTATACTGCCTCTCAAGACAAAGAATTGGCATGGGTTTAAATAACATAAGACCTTTCTTTACTCGTCTGTGTTTATTCTAAGGAGAATGTTGTTTTCAATTCCCTCATATTTCTCTTTTCTGAAGTCTTTATCAATATCATCTTGACTTTATTTTTTAACTTTAACCAATTCTCAAAAGTATATTTTAAAAATTAATTAAAATTTAAAA